ATATTCTCATGGGTAGGCTGGGGCCCTGTCCCACCAATCTTTACTACTCTTAGAGGCTTGCAGACTAGTGTGTGGGGTGTATAGCTACGTTATGGCCATACTGGCCTATGTGGTTGGTTTGCTGAAGCTTGTGAGCTATTTGATGTATTGTATTGATATATACCTGCTTTTAGTTTTGGTATAGATATCATGGTGGCCTCGACGGCCCAATCAGGACTTCTGTGCTAGTTGGCTATTTATTTATATGATCTCCTGGGAGTAACTGTTTCTTTTATAGATCAGTTGGCAGGGGCCTTGCCGGCCAATGGCTTAGTTTTAAGCTGAGATATACTTGTTTGATTTCTTGATTGCGTGTGGCTGCCATGCGCTAGTAGCAAATGGTTCAGCAAGGTCGGCTCGAGCCTGAGTTTTGGCATTAGGAGCCAGTTTCACCCCTTGAGTTTGAGGTGTGACAAAAACAACCAAACCAAACCGACAAATTATATATATAAATTTTATATAATTATTCATAAATAAAATATAAATATTTTTTTAAAATTTTAATTAACTTAAGTCTTAACTTTACCATTTACTCAAGCCCAACACTTAAATTTTAGCCCAACTATTAAAACCCTAAGACAAAGTCCATCAAAATCTATTACTTTAATCTTTACCTACCTTACATCACATTAGATAGTCACACTTTATCTTAGTTGAATCACTTTATTCATGTAATAAGTAATAACTATAGTAATGCTAAATTGAATCTATAAGAACTTGCTCGTGGATTGTTCGTGTATTAGGTATTTGTGTCTATTAAGATGCGTATACTTTCAACAAATTTAATTTATTACTTTCAAACTCTAAAAAACGAAAAACCCGAACCAAATCGAACCAAACCGACAACAACCAAACCAACGGTTATTTTTTTCATTTGATTTGGTTGGGTTTTAGAAATTTAAAAACTGACTAAATTAATTTGATTTTGGTTTTAACTAATAAACGATCCAAACCGAACCATGAGCACCCCTATTTAAAGGTATTTTCAGTACTTCTCTTGTTTTATTAATGTGAGCGATTTAGTGGGATAGCATTTCTAATATAAATTATTATTTTTCTTTGTGTTGTAGCCATGGTGGTACATACTACATAGATGGCTATTACGTAGAAAAAAATTGAAGAAATAATCAATATATATATATTTGTATTTGCAAGGTCTACCCTTGTCTAGTGGAGTTTCTTGGATTCTCCACATTTGTTATTGTTATGCATCTTGTTAAGCAAATTTTAATTGACTTCACCTCTTAAAATAACGCGATAACTCAGGAACTATCATAGGGATCAAAATTAAAATAACGATATAACTCAGGAACTAAAAATGCCATTTTCCCTCATATATATCATGAATACAACTTGTTTGATATATCGACTTTATTCTAACAAAAAAGTTAATGCTAGTCATTAGAATTTGTTGTGAACATCGACTCTATTCTAGCTCTAGTATTAACACACACAAAAAAGAAGGAAAAAGGACCTAATATACCTCACTTCTCATTTTCTTCTTCAACACTTGCGTTACCTTCCTTGGATACAATACCGATTTCAAACATCTCGATACAAGCTGTAACCTCTTCTGATTTGGAAGCATCAATGCTCCCGCATGATTCAGTAGATTTGTTTGTTTCATCTTCAATATTATCAATAAACTCACTGCTAAGCATTTCCGCTTTATCAAGTTCATGCAGCTTCTGCAGGGCTTCAATAGCAGTCTTTGTCGCCCATCCGACATAGATCATGTACCTGGAAGAGCATTAAGGCAATATACTGAAAGCTTGAGAACTTCCGCGCGTTGTAATTTAACCATGCATGTTAGATGATAGTTTTAGATCAACGCGATAGAAAGAAAAGTTACCTTTCAAGATCCATTCCAGCATAGAGGAACGCTGATTTTATACGAGGTTCCGAATTAAAATAGACATTCATGATGGTATCAGACAAGTATCCTCCCCATTTAGCAATTTCAAGGAGAAAGTGGATATCAAGAGTAAGCTGTTTGAGATTCAAAATTAGAAAAGTTTCTTCTTTATCCATATTCGTATCTAACATCATCTCCATCAGCTCAATGAATAGATCCTTTAACCATTTCATTTCGATAAGAGTGTCATCAGCATGCTCTTTTAGATTCCTTAACGCGAAATACAATTCCTGGTAGTTTGATGTCCCAAACAAAGAAGTTTAGAGTAAATATTAATTGTGGAGAAATAGTTTAAGAAGGTAAAATAGTCAAAATGTTATCCTTATTAATGCTTTCTTAAGGGGCGTGTAAATGAAAAACAGGACAACTATTTTGAGACCGCGGAGGGGGGAAGGGAAACATACCTGGTAAGAAATAGAGGGCTGTAGATCAGTGCAACATGCTGGAGGAGGACTACATCTATGGCCACTTTTAAGAATTAATTGCTTGCAGAATTGAGATCTTAGACGACTACAGTTGTCGTTAATGAAGAGCTCATAATTATCAATCTCGAACTCCAAGTGGTAGGTGTCACAGAACGCCCTCCGAATCATACTGGAGAAGATTTG